AGTATATGGCGAACATCCTTGGACCCTATCTCGTGATATATCCCAGCCCTACTGTAATATTTTAATGCATTACAGCTCCTCCCCGACTTACGACGGGGTTAGGGACCCAAATCCAGGTCGTAAGTCAGAATGGTCCAAAGTCAGAAATGCTAAAAATAATACAGTACCGTACATATAAAATCTGAAATGAAATACAATACAGTAAAAGTAATCAAGAATGAAGAATGCATACAGTGTTACTGTGCACTTACCTTTAATGTAATCAGCTGAATGCACACTGGGCCCCCATAATTTTCTATTTACAGGTATACATGGAGACATATTAATTGGATGAAGCAGAGGAGGAGACAGGGCTGGGTGGGTCATCAATGTCGCTTTCTTCAGACAGGTTTATGTATTGTGGAAACTTGCTGGTTGAAGGTATTGGATCATCTTGAGGGAGTGAAGAGACAGCACTGGTGGGGTGTGAGGAGACAGCAATGGGGGACTTCTTAAAATAGATGCCCAATTTAGACTGCACAGTTTGCTTTTTCTTTTCATTATAAATCTCTCTGTAGCAAGCAAGTGCATCTTGGACCATTCTGTCAACTTTGGCAAAACGCTCAACACTTTGATCCATTCCATCAAACATTTGCATCCCCTTATTAATTGTAGCAAATGCCTCTGCCATTTGCTTCACTGAAAAATTTTTAGGGGTGCAGGTACTTCTACATTTTGACTCTCTTCTTCCTCTGCATTTTTCTTTGCTTCCAGTTCGATAAGATCCTCGTTACTTAGCTTTTCTGCTACACTTTCAACCAACTGCTCAACATCTTCATTTTCAATTTCTAACTCAAGCTGTTTACCCAACTCCACTATCTTGTTACTAATCTCAGAAATTACTTCATCTTCATTAAATCCTCTGAAACTGTTCACATATCTTTTCAAGACTTTCTTCCATATTCCATTCATGCATTGTTCTGTAACCTCATCCCATGCTGCACCAATGTTCTTTATACATTTCAAAATGTTGTAGTCCTTCCAAAACTCTCTGAGCAGCAACAGCCTGAGCGAAGGTCGCACATAAATAATTAGCTTTAAAAGCTGCAATAGCACCTTGATCCATGGGTTGGATGATAGAGGTAGTGTTAGGTGGAATGTAGACTACCTTAACATCAGGGTGCATGTCGTCCAGGTGTGGTGGGTGTCCAGGAGCATTATCCAAAATCTTGAATGGAATCCGTTGTTGCAGACAATACTCCTTGGCTCGTGGAATGAACCAAGCCATGAACCAATCCTCAAACAGAACTAAGGCCATCCAGGCTTTCTTGTTACTTCGATTAAACACTAGCAGTGTAAGCTTGCTGACAGGTTTAAAGCCCTGGGGTTCTCTGAATGATAGATCATGAAGGGCTTTATCTTGAAACCAGCTACATTCCCCCCCAACAGAAGTGTAATTCAGTCCTTGAAAGCCTTGATTCCTGGCATTGTTTTCGCCTCTTTGTGGATGTATGTCCGTTCAGGCATGCGCTTCCATAATAATCCAGTTTATCCACATTGAATATTTGCTCAGGCAAATAATTTCCCTCGACGATCACACGATCTAGCTCCTCCTTAAAAGCTTCGGCAGCACCCACATCAGCACTAGCTGCCTCTCCACTCACCTTTACATTATGTTAACTGAAGCGGTTCTTAAATCTGTTAAACCACCCATGCCTGTAGGGTTAGAAGGCTTAAGGGTACACGCTTTTGTATCTGGTCTTCCATCCATATCACAAGTAATTTTTCCATCTCATGAATGGGACCTTGTCTTTTCTTCGTTATTATAGTTCCCTTTATAGGTGCTGATCCTTTCACTACCTCATGAATACATTCCTTGTCCTTCAAAATAGTAGATATGGTCGAGTGCGAGAAGCCCAGGTCGCGTGAAATGGTTGCTACAGGTTTTCCATTTTCATGCTGCATTATTATTTTCATTTTCGTCTCAAAAGTAATTGACTGTCTCCTTTTCTTCTGAGCTCCACCGGTACTCTCACTTGTACACTTTCCAGTCATTCTAAAGTTAATTAGATACGAAAATAATGTCAGTACACAGCGCGATCAGTTGCGGATACAACGACAGCCAAACACCAACTAAGCGCTCTACAGCGTGGGTGCTGTACCCACGCGGCGACCCAAGCCACGGGACGGAAACGTTTCGGTCTAGAAAAGACGCGAGTCATTTGAAAAAAATTTTGGTACCGACTACGGCAGTCGCATGTGCGGGTGGTCTTACCGACTGAGGCAGGTCGTAAGTGCAGGTGGTCGTAGGTCGAGTAGGTCGTAAGTCGAGTAGGTCGTAAGTCGGGGAGTAGTTGTATATATATAAACAATAGTTTGCAATTATTATTTTATATGAGTTTCGAAAATAGAAAGCATTTATAAACACATCATGTTTAATTTATGTAAAAAGTATAAAAACTTTTGGTGAGGAATACTCGCATTTGAGAACTTGAGTGGCAGCCATGCACTACAATTTGTGTTATACTCGCGCTTACGTATTGATTTAATATTTTTATCATGATTACCTAAATAAAACTAATTGTAGACAATGTATTTATGCTAATGCAACAAACCCGACCTTTTTATCTCCAATAGTAAGCTTGCTATGTCTCAATATGTACAATTATCTTATGCGCTCGGAGGGATAAAATAAAAAATCTGCACTTGGCCTGGGCACGCTCATCAGAACACACAATTTACACAACTAATACCTAGTAAAATAAAATAAATTCACAATCTTTCTTCTTTAAATGCCAGGTAGTGACGTGTCCTCCGAATATTACTTATTAAGTAATTATTAGATGTTTTAATTGCCTGTATGTTGGCCTGGCGAATTGGCTAGGAATTAACATACCTAGGTAGCATTTGCTGACATCGCATTCGAGCTATATCACAAAAACTGGCTTTTAGAAAAAACGGCTTTTTTTAAACATGTACACTGTACTTTATAATAGAATAAAGTTCACATTGCAATCACGTGAAATATCATTTTATTGTTAACCCTTAGGCCCGGGGTGACGTTCCAGAACGTCAGCCTATTTTCTCGCCATTTTTTTTTTTTAAGTTTATTTTTTTTCTCGATTTAACGATTTATCTCCGCGAGCGCCCTAAGCCGGGGCTTAGGAGTTAAGCGTATAAAAAAATTTAGTTCTATTCGCGCTTACGTATAGAAAAAATATTACAGTAATACCCCGCTTAACACGGTTTCACTTAGCGCGATTTCACGTATATGCGGTGTCTCGCCAGAGCTGAACTTTCACTTAACACGGATTTTTTCCACATATACGCGCAGAGTGTCCGGCTCGAGAGCTATTTTTAGATTCGCCCCACCCGCCACCCTGCCTGCCTGCCTGTTTTAGCTCATAAAATTCATACAAATTACCCGACCAGAATATAATTTACATTGCTGGAATTCTTACAATTTGGTGATCATTTTGAATATAAACATCATAGATTTTGCATTAGACATACAAATTTTAGATATAATGTTTACTCTGAGTAATTATGTTATCTTTTGTGCAAAATATATGACATTTATATTCAAAATATTCCTGGTCTTACAAGGAATCCAGCAATGTCAATTATATTATCCTAACTTTAGTTTGAGGTATTATTTATTAAAATTTAGTGGTTTTCCCCCAAAAATTTCTCAAAGAGGGAAGAGCCAGCAGTGTACAGTCAACCCTCACTTTACGCGGTCCCACATTCCGCGTGTCCACGTTTACGCGGTGCCCTGCCGGAACCCAGGATGCTCACATTCCGCGGTGCGTGTACCCCTTTACGCGGAGAGCGGCTGGCAAGCCGGGCCATTTTTGGATCCAAACCTCCCGCCATCCGCCATGTTGTGTAAGCGGCGCGAACATGGTGCGCACAAGGTCGCCCAGTCATCAAAACATTACTAGTTCTTCACCTGCCACCCACCACAGCCAACCCAAGTCAGTGATAGTGATAATTATGGTGAGGATATGGACTTATATGGATTTTGGGGGGTTTGACAAAGAGGCCCTGCAAGCCTCTGTGGTGGATAGTGATACAATTGATACAAGTGAGGGCCAATAATCTGCCCTCTGCCTCGGAACCAACCGCCCATCCCCGTGTGCCCAGCCATCTTTTCTACTAATGTAAGTGTTAAAAAACCTAATATTATTGATATTTCTCTTAATTATTAATTGTGTGTGCATACTATCATAAAGTTAAGATAATATTTTTACTACAACATAGTTGTGTGTCGTCAAAAAGTGGAGTTTGGGGGTCGGCCCGGTCTCTATTTCAATTAATCCCATATGTTATGTTATTCACTTTACGCGTTTCTCACTTTCCGCGGTACCCTGTGGGTTACATTAACCGCGTAAAGTGAGGGTTGACTGTAGTGTGAGAAGAGGGGGAGGGAGTTGAGTCCATTATTTGAATGGACATTAACTTGGGGACTGTATTTCTCTATTTCTCTTAAGTATTAATTGTGTGCATGTACCATCATAAAATTAAGATGTTATTTTTACTACAACATAGGTATTGTGTCGGAAAAAGTGGACTTTGGGGGTCGGGCCAGTTTCTATTGGAATTAATCCCATATGTTCTGTTGTTCACTTAGCGCGGTGAAAAGGTTTTCACTTAACACGGTACCCTGTGGGTTTTATTGACCGCGTTAAGCAGGGTACTACTGTACATCGTGATCACTCATATAAAACTGTTTATAGATAATTTATTTGCAATGCTAATGAAACAAATCCCACCTTTTTATCTCAAATAGCAAGCTTGCTATGACTCATTACGTACAATTACCTCTCATGTAGTGCAGTCTAGTGCTGTGAGGCGAGTTATAGGCCTATACCTAAGAGTGTTAAGATGTGAACCAAAACACCTGTTAGTACACATCATATGGCATTAACTGAAGCCTGGGGGTAAAAGGTTCTCCTTCAAAAGTAATGGGCTATTCAAGAATACAAATATTTAAATATGAAAACCTGAAGATAACTTACCAATACAAACAAATAAAAAAGAAGACCAAGTAGTATGCAAGACCAATGACAGCATCTCTCATGTGGGTCTTCAGTTGACCCATGCGGTGAATCTCTGTTGGGTCGTACACTCCAAAGTTCCCGGTTGGCACCTTCACATACCTGAAATCAAGATACAGGTATATTTATTCAAAGTTAATGAGACTGAAGGATTGAGATACTGTATGAAGTCCATTTGTGGCTGAAGAGATGAGTGAATGACCAGTGTGAGATGGTCAACAACAGGTAGTAGGTAGTAGGCAGCTACCTAATAGGGAGGATATTCCAGCCAGAATATAATTTACATTGCTGGAATTCTTACAATTTGATGATCATTTTGAATATAAGCATCATAGATTTTGCATTAGACATACAAATTTTAGATCTAATGCAAGTATTTTGTTTACTCAGAGAAAATATGTTATCTTTTGTGCAAAATATATGAAGTGTATACAGGTGGCCTATCAAAAATCCGGCAACCTCGGGACCTGAGGAGTGCCGGATTTTCGAAAATGCCGGAAAACTGATGGTTATATTTGCTGTATAAGTTTAACAGAAAATGACTACCTTTACAGTCCTTTAAACAAAGAAAATTAAACACTAAAGTTAGGATAATATAATTGACATTGCTGGATTCCTTGTAAGACCAGGAATATTTTGAATATAAATGTCATATATTTTGCATCAAAAGATAACATATTTACTCAGAGTAAACATTATACAGTTGTACCCCACTTAACGCGGTCAATTGAACCCAGAGGGTCCCGCGTTAAGTGAAATCCGCGTTAAGTGAACAACAGAACATATGGGATTAATTCCAATAGAAACCGGCCCGACCCCCAAACTCCACTTTTTGAAGGCACATACCTATGTTGTAGTAAAAATAACATCTTAATTTTATGATGGTACATGCACACAATTAATACTTAAGAGAAATAGAGAAATACAGTCGCCAAGTTAATGTCCATTCAAATAATGGACTCAACTCCCTCCCCTCTCACACTACACTGCCGGCTCTTCCCTCTCAGAGAAATTTTTGGGGGAAAACCACTAAATTTTAATAAATAATACCTCAAACTAAAGTTAGGATAATACAATTGACATTGCTGGATTCCTTGTAAGACCAGGAATATTTTGAATATAAATGTCATATATTTTGCACAAAAGATAACATAGTTAATTTGAGAAAAATTTTTATCTAAAATTTGTATGTCTAATGCAAAATATATGATGTTTATATTCAAAATGATCATCAAATTATAAGAATTCCAGCAATGTAAATTATATTCTGGCCGGGTAATTTGTATGAATTTTATGAGCTAAAACAGGCAGTCAGGCAGGGTGGCGGGTGGGGCAAATCTAAAAATAGCGTCTAATCTCGAGCCGGACACTCACCGCGTATATGTGGAAAAAATCCGTGTTAAGTGAAAGTTCAGCTCTGGCGAGGCACCGCGTATATGATAAAACGCGTTAAGTGAAACCGCGTTAGGCGGGGTAATACTGTATATCTAAAATTTGTATGTCTAATGCAAAATCTATGATGTTTATATTCAAAATGATCATCAAATTGTAAGAATTCCAGCAATGTAAATTATATTCTGGCCGGGTAATTTGTATGAATTTTATGAGCTAAAACATATATCTTCATTAAATAAACAAAGAAATATTTGAAAATGCGCTCTGAAATCTATGCCGGAAAACTGAAGGTTCCGGTTTATCGGTTGCCGGATTTTTGATAGGCCACCTGTATTCAAAATATTCCTGGTCTTGCAAGGAATCCAGCAATGTCAATTATATTATCCTAACTTTAGTCTGAGGAATTATTTATTACTAAAAATGTAAATATACTGTTATAACCCAATCATTTCTCTGGTAGGGAGGGAAAGGTGGGGGTGAGGGGTAGGGAGGGAGGGAGGGACCCAGGGAGCAGGTGGGAAGAGGGGGAGAGGTGGGGTATTTTGAGTGACAGATTGACAGATGGTATTTCGGTAAGTATAATGTAGTCTAATCACCAAGTCATTCACCCATGAGTATGAATCAATTGGTGAGTTGACATTTCCTCTGGGGTGCAGGCAAGGTCAAGCTTGGTCAGCGCAGCTCAGCAACAACAACCTGACGCATTTCCTTTAAGACTCGCCTGACAACTCTCTCTCCCTGGTGTGAGAGAGAGACTATCATATTACCTGTTACCCAGTGAACACCTCACTTAAGTGTTCTCCTATACAAGTGCACTAAGACACTTCCCTTAGCAGAGAAGGTACAATATACTCTCAACTGAACTCAGTACCTGTAAAACTATATTTTTCTACAATAAAGCAAAACCAACAAAGTGTTTACTTCAGCCCTGCCACTTATCAAATCCAGAACTAATATATATATACGTATATATATATATATATATATATATATATATATATATATATATATATATATATATATATATATATATATATATATATATATATATATATATATATATATATATATATACATATATATAGTGACCGCTTAATCTAATCGTTAACGAAATTTCGGTGAACTAACTGCCTTCCATATAGGATCTTCAATTCAAGAAAAAAAATTCGGTTAACGAAGTTTACTTAACTCAATTACTAAACATGTT